CTCATTCGTGAAGCGCATTTGCCGAACACTTCTGTTGAATGAGGCCTGGAAAGATTGAAAACAATTGCCTCGTTGTCGACCTCAAGGGTGAGACTCTCGGACTTGGCATGACTTGCTTTGGTGGCATGACTTGCTTCGGTGCCAGGTCTGGGAATCTCTGGCGTTCCAATCTCGGCCCTGTCTCAGATCTACTCGGCCACTTGGGCTGTGTTTTGGAACAGGTCACACCTTTGCATAAGCTTTGCCTAAGCTACGCTTTGCAAGCTAAATATGCTTTGCAAGCTAAATGACAAGATTGCAAGTTGGGCTTTTGTCAGGTCATGAGCCACCATTACATTGGTCGAGTTTTCAGGCGTTCCATCGGAGCCTATCCGATCTGTGTCTCAGAAGAAAACCCTTAACATTAATCCATATTAATCCGCTTGAGTGTGTAATGAAATAGAGAGAGATCCCAAAGACCGGCAGAAGGGAAATAGGCCAGTCTACCCATAGAGCCAGGGGGTCTCCCTATTAAAATCGACACCGCTTTGTCGCACAGATTCTACGTGGTGAACATGTCCAGCGGGCTCAGCACCATTGCTGGCTGGGTGCGTGGCTCAGACTGACCTTTCATTTCGACTCTCAGACCTTTCATTCGTGTTCGGTCGGTCGAGTTGAGCGCCATGAGGTCAAGGGGATTCTCACAGATCGGCAGAAGCCAGACCATCTCAGAATCTCAGACCGTTTCACGCGACAAACGCGACAAGGCAGAGACAAACAGGCCAAACAGCACCGGCCATGTGAGGCAAAAGCTCCAGCTTTTGGACCATTTAGACGATCTCAAAAAGGCGGGGCTAGATGATCTAGTATCCAGATGATGCACAACTGCTAAGCGGTGGCTCTGCAGTCATAGCTGTGTCAGTCATAGCACACGCTGGTTGGATCAACTCGATATGGTGAGGACTTTGCGCACCATCAGCTTGAGGAAGATCTTGGCCCGTGCACTTAAGTGGTACTCACCAAAATGGTACCACTTGTGTATAGCAAGCCCCTAAAATGAATCCTTCTGGTATGCTGAGGCGGAACAAGGCCGATGATCACAACCTTCTTCCCGTTCCCTCTCCAGGCGTTTTTATGTTATATTCTATTTTTGTGCAGTGTGAATGGCGGAAAGCTGGTTTTGCTGTTGAGGGCCCTCCTTTTGAGAAGGGATCCACCGAAAGCGAGCGCCCGAGTTGTGTGTGCAAAGAGCCATTTCTTTTTTTAACGCTGCTATTTGCAGCTCCTGTCAGTCAAATGCCTCTAGACTTTGGCATGAGAATATGGGTACGAATGACTTGAAGCTGTCTGGGGAAGGGAGAAAAAGGAAGTGACCCTGCTGTAGAAACCAGGGACTATATAGAGCAAATAGTTACTGTGGCGTGTGCATGGGCACGGGTGGAATGCGGAAGTCACTTGATTGAGCAACCGCAACAAAAAGTGTGACGACCAATTTAGGGCAGAGCGGTGGTGAATTTCAAGAACTTGGCTAACATCTGCAAAAGCGATAGGCTCCCCTCAAAAGCGATGGCCATATCGCAGCTAGTTTGGGACATGTCCAGCTATGTTTAAAGTAAACAGTTTACAAGGACCCCTCAAAAGCGATAACCTTGTTGAAACATGTCCTCTTCAATAGTAACAAGACCTTTGGCAGACGCTCATTTGGTGGAAGACCTACCATGAAGTGTTGGCTGCCTTCAGGCATCGCAATAGTTTTCAGGAAATCAGTTGTCCCTGCAACTAAGGTGGTACTGGAACACAGTTCGAGGGATCGCACAGAGCCAGGAACTCAGCTTAAACATAGTAGACGAGTGTTGCCTATGCCGGGCTTGAAAGTGTTTAAAGGTGCAAAGGTCCATTGTAGCAATCGAGTCGTTATTGTTTGAATCTCCACCAAGAATGGAAGAACCATGAAGAACACGAGAGTTTCCTCGCAGCGCAGGTGCTTTCCAGCATGGGTGCCAGAGGAAAGATTTGGGACCCGTCCAAGAGCAAAGAGGCACTGGTTCCGAGACCGCGCCGCATTGGTCACTCGCCCGGAACGGCGCGCGGCGCTGTTCGGCCACCGAGTCGCACCGTTTTTCATGCAGGAGAATACTTGCTTGGAGTACTCCCCAGAGGCCGTCTCGGAAGGTTTCTGTCAGTGCCGGACCAGGTCAATCCCTTTAGTGGATTGAATTCCAGGCATATGACTGGTTTGTGAAGAACAACCTTGCTGTTCCTCCAGAGTGCCATCGGCAGCATGAGGCATGCTGCGCTGCCATATCCCCGTGTCCAATGTGCTTTTCCAGCGATGCGGCTCGCATACATGGCTCTTGCGTGTGCCAATAGGCTGCCAAGAAGGCCGAAGAGGAAAGACAGGCAGAAGCAAAGCGTTGGGGGCCTCAGTACTGCAACGATGGCAGTGCTGCTTTTGTTGTTGTGTTTCGTTCGATGTTGAACCCTTGCGCCTTGGGAACTGCCGTGGTATGGTTTTTAGTCGGAGCGTTTTCGCCGTTCTGTGCGGCCATGAGGCCTCGCGGCAGAAAGCCCCAGTGGAATCGCCAACTCCGACTTGAAAGCACCTTGGCAACAGGATTTTGGGTCACCAGAGGTCGATCGGAGTTCCATTTTTCCATCGCAGAATGCAGCACCGGAGTTCCGATCAGACATTCCCTTTTGGTTGGAAAGGTGGAGAATGCAGAAGGTCTACCGGCATCCGGTCTCATGGACGAGGCATCCGCAGAAACCTCGCTGGTCGTCCCTGGGCCCACTACATACGGTCATGTGCAGGAGGAAGAAGATGAAGAAGAGGAAGAAGATGAGGATTTTTGCAAGTCTTCGAGTTTCATGTCAGTGTGCAGTTTTACTTCCATGAGAGATGCTTTTCAGGCGAGATTTTGCATCAAACTTGGTGAATACATGAGCTTGAGAGGACATCATTGTTCAAGATCCTGCGGCTATAAAGCCCAAGGGAATTTTCAGTTGCAGCCCATGCTGGTGTGGCAACAACTGTCAGGGTGCCCAGCTAAAGACAAGCATTTGGGCATTTGCGGTCGCCTGTTTCTGTGGCTTGCTAGTGTAGAGTACCTCGAGAGAAGAAAAGCAAGGGTGAAATGCTATTTGTAGTTTTGGTGGACAGGAAACCACAATTTGAATATGAGTATTAGGACGCTATTAGGTTGGAGGCCATCGCTACTAGCAACAAGAAGCTACTAGTAACAAGGACAACCAAGTCTTCGTCGCAAGCGCTAAGGATCGGCTGGAGAAGCGGATTTGTTGACGGGGAGTGATGGCAGCTGTTGATTGAGCACTTGTTGCAGCCTTCCGCTGCATGGAACAAGTTTCGATCGGTTTTAATATACGTTTAACTAGCTCGGAATCACAGCTGCAGCACTCCCTGCATCGACTCCAGAGTCTGCTTATGCTCTAGCCGAAGCTCCCGGGTTCATCTTTCGCTTACTCTCTTGCCAGCAGCTCAGCGCTCGTGAGCTCGGTGGAGCTCGGTGGAGCTCGGTGGAGCTCGGTGGAGCTCGTGCTAAGCACCAGAGAAGGAACGCTTCTGGCACTAGTCCTTCCTTGGATCTTCCGCGGTCCCGATTGACCCGGTGCCAAGGCTTTTTCTGAGCACTCATTGATTGCTCTGTGGTGCTGCCAAAGCTTGTGCCTAAGATTGGGACTGTCGGACTGTCAGATATGGGTCAAAACTCCCAGCCGGTTTGGTTTTCACCCTGGTAGGTTGACCTTCTCTAGGTCACCAGAGTCTCCCGTTCCGACCGGGTTCGATTGAAGGGACATAGACCAAAAATACACACCCGGTTTCACTGCGGACCAGCTTCACCCCCATATTCCAAATATGGGCTTTCAGGATGATCCCAGACGGGTCCTTGATGGTCCTTGATCAAGGACCGGTCTCCCTCAGGTCTCCCCTTCACACATGCACACGCATATGGTTGTGTATCAAAACCTAGGCCCCTAGACATTTGTTCTGTTCATTTTCCGTGGTCAGCCCGGGAAGACCCGGTTGAAAGACCCACAGCCCAAACCGCTTCTGCCGGCGCCCAAACCACTCGATCGGAACACCCTCCGGCTCGAGCCGAAGACCGAAAACCACCATTGTTTCGCCGCTGAAGACGGCGGTTTCGTCTCTCCTAGGCAGCCGACCACTTAACGCTTGAGAGGCAGGTGCAGTGCTCAGAGAAGAAGTTGTTGGTGTGTTATAGACACAGGAAGGGGCCTGTTGTGGTGGCAAACATGACTTATTAAATAGGTCAACCCTGTTTTTTCTGCGTTCGAAGTCTTGAATGATTTTGGGTTCGGTTTGACTCTGAAACACCACCACGTTGAGCGTGAAAAGCTTTGACTCCGATGTTTTGGGGAGACTGGTGACGGGTGACGGCGACTCAGGTGCTACCAGCTAGCGCTTCGATCGCTGGTCATGGGGTTTTCAATTATACAGTTGGAGAGGGCCACCCATGTTTGATCATATCACTTTTCTTGAAGCTATGTTGAGCACAGTTCTAGAAGGCTGTTCAATGCTGTTTTGCTGTTAACTATAGTGGGTCTTTTGCTTCTTTTGTCTGACAGAAAGTCCAAATGTGACCTGGTTGTGTGGCCAGTCCCCAATGGGGGAGGCCTAATTTGTGTACAATTGTGTACAATAGTGTCTGCCGCTTTTGTGAAGCGTTGCTTTCTCAGTGCGGCTGCCTAAGCGTCCGTGCCCCACGAGAAGGCAACCTTGACTGTTTTTTTTCTTTGCCGCATGGTCACTTTGAATGCCAAAAGAATAAGCCATGCCGGGCGTTTCACCCCGTGCCCTCGCGCCAATGTTCCTTCCAGTCGTTTGCATATCAGTGTGCAAAGAGTCGCTGGACATATTGGTGCCGCGCCGCAAAAAGAGGCCTCGGTTGCAATTGCAAGATGTTTTTCATGCGACCCTTTTGTACCGTCCGATGCAATTGCTTTAACTTTGAAGTGTCCTTCCGCAAGTAGCAGATCAAAATGGCGACGGTGGAATTCTGCAGTGGCCAAATGTTTGTTGAGCAAAGGGCAGATATACTTCGGCATCTATCCGTCGGAGCCACACAAGTGAGTGAAATTAACCTGAGAACAACCTTCAAAAAGAACACCGTCAACAGGCTCAATGATTCTTATTCTTCAGTGTGCCTTTTCAGGACCTAGCATGGGCAGACCGAGATGTTAGCATGGGGGCTCCATCCATCTTGGAATCTCCGTCACAGCTTGGTGCAGACAAGCCGAAAGGTTGAGTCACCAAGCGTTTTCCGGAGAATGTCCTTCCCATCGTTGATTCTCGCCTTGAGTCGCTTGAGCCCAAAACCCCAAGCTGCTCTTCCCAGCTGCAAGGTGCGCAGGCGAGCCACGCGTGTCGACCAGTGTCGCTTGTGGGAAGCTTTGTCACCATCAAAGGCAGGTCCTCTCAAAATCACCTCCCAGCTGTTGGATCGTGCCTGGAAGATGTCTGGCTTCAGAGACCCTGATGCCATACACGGCCAAAGAAGTTTGCCGCTCTACCGTGTGGTCCACGCAGCCTTCCCAGAGCTCTTTCCGAGTGCCAGTGCCGCCAAAAAGGCCCTGAAGAGAGGCTATGTCTTGGTGGATGGAGAAGCCATGCCCAGCTCAAGCCTGTCGCCTCCGCTCGGATCAGTTCTGACAGCGTTTGTATCTCGAAGCTTGGAAAGCCCAAAGAATGACAGGCTGAAAAGCATCGACCAACGATTAGAGATGTGGAATTCAGGCAGGCCCAAATCCTCGAAGATTTACGTACTGCACAATGATGAGAATGCTGCATGGGCCGTGGTGAATAAGCCATCAGGCCTGCACACCTCACCTGTTGGACTCAATGCTTGGAAAAGCCTCACGCTGCAGTCCTACTTGCCTGCATTGATTGCTCCCCCGACTGGAGCGGGAACCCCATGCCGCAATGGGCCGAGACCATGCCACCGACTGGATTTTTTGGTGGCAGGTCCTGTAGCGGTGGCCGCTTCGGAAGAGGCCATGCGGTCCTTGAACCGTTCCTTCAAGAGCCGCAAGGTGCACAAGGAGTACCGGGCCATTCTTTGCGGATCTTGTGGAGGTCCAGGAGAATCCTTTTCCATCCACCTGCCGGTTGAGGGGAAGTCCTCACACACAGATGTAGACATACTGCAAGTTGTCCCCCATGAATACTATGGTTCATTGACCGAGGTCTCGCTGAAGCCTCGTGAAGGACGTCGTCATCAGCTTCGCATCCATTGCGCAGCCATTGGGATGCCGATTGTGAATGATGTGGCCCCAATCTATGCTTTGGCGCAAGAAGCTTGGCTTCAACGCTGGAAGCAAGCCTTGCCAGTGCAACAGCGAGTAGGTCAAGGCTTGTTCCTGCAGGCAGTGAAGCTTGCGGTTCCCCATCCATTTGACTCCATAGAAGTGTCGGTGGAAGTGGAGATTGCTGAGAAGTTCCGCAAAGTGCTGCACTCGGAAAACGTGAAGGTGCGACAAATGCATCTCATATGATTCTGACAGGCTTGTTTTGCCGCACTCGTAGCTGTCTCCCAAAGCATTCAAGAAGTTGCCCCGCAAGTTCCGTCGGTCAAGTTTCAAAATGCTGAGAACTGAGAACCTACACGTGTGTGTGTGTGTTAAACTAAACTGTGCAGGGTGCCTACTCAGAATATGGTGCAGTATCAGTAACTCTTCCAAAAGCATGAGGTCATACATCCGACAAGGGATAGGTTCCAACGGAGACAAAGGACATCCAGTCGAAAACACTTGTTGCTGTTTCATCGCAGTCCCTTCTTGAAGAAATATTGCTATATAGACCCTTCTGGTAAGAAGATTTCCCCTTGCGTTTGATACAGTGGTGCTTCCGTTGGATTAGGCCCCAAAGTTGACAAGTCGTGGTGACGAGAGGAGAACCCTTAGATGCCGTGTGCAAAGCGACTCTTGAGACTCCAACATCCTTGCTACGTCGTAGCAAGAAGATGGCCTCCAACCTACTACTGGTAGCAATGGCCTCCAACTGACTGGCGATGGCCTCCAACCGACTAGCGATGGCCTTCAACCTACTAGCTTCTTGCTACTAGTATACGCATGTTGTCTCGATGCCATGGATACGCAGCCGCCTCTGATCTCAAACCAAGGCGGCGTTTCTTTTCATCATTTGGATCTCAAAGCTCAAAACAAGTGGTCCTTTCTGACACGATGACGTAGCAGATCAGGTAGTGGACAGAATGATGCACCATCTCCACCTGCCTGTGCCTTGGGATGACCCACTCTGCCGATGTTACATCCTGAGAATGGACTTTTGGAGGCTCCGCTCGAGCAGCTTCCAGCCGAGGCGGAGCCAGGGTCAGGCGTTAGTTCTGGTGATGACATCCCTGACGTAGTCGTAGGTGTGTGATGCTTGTGGCAACCTTTTTATGCCAGACTCGATGCTTGGCAAGACAGCATGCACTTGGAAGCCGCCCACAAAAGCAAAGAAAGCAGACCAGAAACACAAATCAACAGGGAGACTGACTATTTCTTGTGATTTGGGTGTGGCCGTTCCAGTTCTGTTCTTGCTTCGTTTTGCTATATGCAAAGGAACTTTTGCCGGCAATGCGGGGCAGCACGCAAGGCCTTTGGCACAAGTCACGCATGTTGACAGAAGGAGCAAAGCGAACCCAAGATGGGTTTTTGCTACACCTAGAGGTCATGCTTCAACTGACACCTTCAAAAAGGGGTTTACGCTTTGGAAGATTTCAAACTCGTTCAGGGAACTGCGGCAGCTGCACCGAGCTTGCCAAAAGGAGCTTCCTTTGTTGAGGTGCCACACTGCCGCGCCACAAAATGAAAATGAATTAAACTTATTCTTTTTCGCAGAGTTTCAGGTGACTGCAGAAGCAGCTGCCCCAAACAGTTCGCTGCACTTGCAGGTGGGGAACTGCCAAAAGCGTGACTGGCTTTTCCAGCCTCGAAAGATTTGAACATCAGATGAAAAAGATACGTATAAACAGAGCAAAAGAGAGAAGAAAAGAATAGCGGCGGCCTCCAACCTAATAGCGACGGCCTCCATCATCCTCCATCTATATAGTGCACTTCAGCATCACGTGCCAACAGGTGCTCATTGAAATCGGCGGACGGTGGCTGTGGGCGAATGGTCTTGTGGCAATTGCAAGGACCTCACTAACCTCACTTGTGGATTCGTAAGTTCTGAAGGTGCAAACAACTGGATGACCCGAGTGGTCGCCCAGGTTCTTCTGGGATTCAAAAACTTGAAGTTTGACTATCCAGCAGGCAGTTTTGCCATGTTTAGTTTAGCCTCCAAAGATTGGCCAATGGAATGATGTTTCTCGGAGTTTACAGCCAGGTTGGGCATGGGCTGAGCTGTGCATGCTCCTGACTTTTTTGCTTTTACTTTGCTTGCAGCGATGGAGCGGCTGCTATGCCAACAGGCAGGGCTTTTTCACAAGCTACGAGAAGACTTTGTTTTACTGAGAAGGCAACAAGGACAGGATCCTAGAGGATCTCACTATTTCCCTCTACTAGTAGTAACAAGTGCCACGCTACTAGTAACAAGTGCCTTACTAGTAGTAACAAGAAGCTAGTAGCAACAAGTGCCACGCTACTAGTAACAAGTGATACGACGTTTGTTGCAGATTTACACAACATTAATACAACTAATCAGTAGACGAGTGTCAACTGGTCTTCAGGGCTCAAAGCGCGATCTCAATGGCATGCTTCCTGGCGCTCTCTGGAGTACTGCTGCTACTGGTCAGCTATTTCGCTGGTTTGCAGGACTGGCAGCTTCGCTGGCAGCGAAGCTCTGGCGCTTTTTCACAGTCTTCGAAGTGACTGAGGAAACGACTGAACGGAGTGGCATGAAGTGACTGACCAGGTCTATGTGATGGAGGCAGAGTTTGTCATGGGTCTAATTTCTCTGTTTGCTCCTCGAAGTTGCAGCTTGAAATGATGTTCGATTTGCGATGTGCGATCCACCAAGGTCGATATTGGCTGGTCAGTTCCTCTTGGGAGTCATTGCAGGCCACAAGTATTCCAAGAGGTGCCAAAGCCGCACTACTTACTTTGTCTTATTTCTACTGTATGTTTTTTGCCGGGGGTAGGCCGTTAATAGCTTAAGTAGCTAGTTGTAAAGGGTGGCCAGAAAGCTATTACCTAGGACGCAGGCTGGGGCTCAGGCCTCTTCAAGAAAGCTGAGGGTGGGGGGGGGTTCCTTGAAGAAGCTTGAGCCTTAAACCTTAATGATTTGGTTACAAAAATTGTTTGGGAAACTTAAGGTAGTAGCTTCTTGCGCCTTAGTAGCGTCCTTGCTCCTAGTAGCGATGCCCTTTGTTCCTAGTAGCTTCTTGCTCCTAGTAGTAAGGCCAGGAGCTCCGTTCGTAGCGTCTTGCTCCTAGTATGGTTCGGGAAACTTGACTGATCGAAGCGTTGAATTTGGGCGGTACAACGATCGGTCAATCAAACTGGCGAGGACTGGCGACTCAGTTCTGGTGTATTTGGCAGCTGCTGTAGCGTTTGCTGCTTTGGTCACTGCTTGGGTGGTGGCCACTCGCAAAGATCATTGCATGAAGGAATTGAAACCTAGCCCATGGCGCAAGCGCCTGTTTCCAACAACAAATGGGTCTCCTTTGAAACCTTTGCTTGAAACTCCAAAGAAGTTGGAAGCAGACCAGGAAATGAAAATAGACAAGCGGGGGCACCTACACGCGGCTTCCAACTTGGCCCCTGCCCTTCCGGTGCAATTAATAGACAAGCGGGGTATGTGTTCCTTTGGCCTTTTGCACCTAAAGCTTTGGGAAGCTTGGGGGCCAAGGACTTGGTGGCTGGAGCACTGAGCGCTGAGCAGATGTGACTTGGAAGAACACCAGTCAGCATTTTCATGGCTGTCTACAAGAAAAGCACCGCAAACGGCAAACACTTTCAACATTCAGCGCTCGAGAAAATTTGATTCAACACCCTTTGACCAGGTATGCAGCCATGGTTGCTGGCTTGACGCTGCTGCTAGTGAGTGTTCTAAGTTCAATGATATGTGCATGTCGTACAATATCTGAATTCTAAAATAATAATCCTATAATCTTGAAGCCTTGAATCCCATTTCATTTAATAGCATTTAACCTTTCCCCAAAAATCTTGAAATATTACAAAATATATTATCATAAATACATATAATATCATATAATTGTGATATACTTATTACGAAAGCCAGCCGATAGGCTAGGCTTGAGCCTTTAGAGCGAACGAAATGAGTTAAGGTGGTATTGGGGGGGTGGTCGTTGAAAGGGACCTTTGGAAAAGGTTAACTTAGAGCTTGGTGGGGGAGAGCGCTTTAAAGCGAGGATCCGAAACACAACAAACATGGGGTTTGGTGATGCGAATGATGCAATGGACACCGACATTAGCATCGCATAAGGTGTTGGAAATTATTTGGACAATGGATATTAAGCAATCGAATGGAAATTATGTAGAATAGATCGTAATCGTACGTAAATTAAGAATTCCTGCTTGTATTATAATCCGTAATTCGCGAAATTATAAAGAGCCGAAAATAATATAATTTAAATTTATGAAATTGAATTGATTTTCGGTGGGATGTTGGCGAGGTTGCTTTTATATTCGTATAGGATTTTTCTTCCTTAAATAAAGATTGTATTTTTTTGTTTAAATTATATTTTCAATCGAATGGATATTTTTCGGTTCGTTTTTTCGCGTCGAATGTTATTGCGGCTTATTATTGAAACCAAATATATTAATAAACCAAAAAAAAAATAAATTAATACATAAATAAATAGATTAATAGATTAATTTTATATATTATTGATTTATGACGAATGACGTTATTTTTTTGTTGATAATTTTGATCGAATTTAATTAATTTGGATTTACGATTTATAAATTTATATATGTAGGTGGTAAAATTAAGGCTTCTGAATGAATAAAATATAGAAATGATAAGAAAGAATATAATAAGTAATATATTTGGATTAATCTTTTAAAAGATAAATTTAGGCATATTTATTGATAGATATATAAATCTTCATTATTTTATTTCGTTTTGCGCTATGGGATTAAAGATCCATGTCTCGGCTAAAATATATTCATTTATTCTTCCAAATTAACGATTGCCGTTTTTCGATATGTCGCAAGATACAAATTTCAAATTCTAATTATATATTAATTATATAAATATTTCTTTTTAATCACATGCCGTATTCGCACACGTGGCGATACTCATTATGGAAAAGATCTTCTTAAACACGCGCACGTGGTATTCCACCACTCGAATTCAGATTGTATTTTCTCTCATTAATGTTGATGTCGCCTTCCAACTTCTATAAAATGCATATCTTCCTACACCTATACTAACATAGAATATATTATATTTCTCTTTTATTTTTTCTTTCAGACTAAACTTATCCCAAAGCCGCCCGGCTTGCTTCTCTACTCCCTCCATCATCATTATTTATCCCCCCCCCCCCCGCATCTGCGGCATCGTTGACTTCGCAAATTGCCGACCATGTGTCTTGTGCCAGGACGCCCGCCAGAAAAAGAGACACTCGTCTGGCACCTGCTGGCTTTCGTTCCCCCTTCTTAGGTTTA